CATTGCTGTGTTACGGATGACGTGCGCTTATTGAACACGAAGAAGCTGATCCTTTTTTACGTCACCCATAATTTCTTTTCTTTATCAGGTGTTTCCACTATATAGATATTTCGTTTCAGCCATAGTCTCCAGCCAATCTCCTCGTTTATTTCGCTTTCCACCATCCTACCTATCTTTGAACTCTTCGCGGATCTTTCCTCCTCCGATCACTGTAATGCTGTTTCCAGTGGTAAGGGTATACTGTGGACTTTGAGACAAATACCTGTTTCAGTTCTAGATGGAATACCTCCATTTCCTCCTAGTCGTCTGGACTTTTGGGAGTATATGGACAATCCTTAAGGTTCTCTTCTTGTGCAGTAAGAGCCACAGCACACTCAGTCTTGATCTGACATCACAAAAGAAAAGATGATTTTATAGGGCCAGCTTTGCTGACTACAAATCTGATTCTTCCTACGTTCCCCACACCCTCTCATCTTCCAGGCCAAATCGAAATACCGTCTATGAAAATGCTATTCATGTCCTTCCACCGTCGTGTCTTGCCAGGGCCAAAGGTGCCACATGCTATCCCTGACCCTGCCTCCACTAATTTCTTTAACGCCACTTCCTTCGCCCGTGGTTTGTAGATTTAGGTGCAAACGGAAAGGAAAAGGGAAGTCCGGATCCGTTTACCAGATGGCGATCTGTAACCGGGGGATTTCAGCCGTCTCTGTTCAATCCAAATCGAAAACCGTACCAAGGCCAGTCGGGAGACGCGCAAGGTAATGAGGTTCATTGCTAGGTGTTGTCAAAACGCGTGAAGATTTGCCACCCGCTGGCAGACTTAACGACGACCTGGGGAATTTCTTATACACAAATCCCAAATTCCATCTTATTTTGTCGAAGTTGTCCATTCTTTGACAAACCAATCACCACAAAGATAGCGGCTATCTTACACTCAAAATTGCGGGTTGTTTTCACCTTTTTGACATGGGACAGTCATTGCGACAATTTCTCTGAGGATCCAAGTTGTCAAGCTCGAACTCAACACCGTTCTAGTGGTCTCATGGCTCTCTGTACCTGACTGAGTACTTGTTGTATCCAATCTTAATATCTGAAGGTCATTTTCCTATCCGCAACCCTGAGACTGCTAGGTATAATGCCAACCTTCGAATTCCTTTATGATTTTCAT